CAAATTCTCACATTGGATAATTCATAATTTATATATTGTAACATTACATTTACGGTAACATCCCGTAATCTCACCCTTTAAAATTTCCTAGTTGATATAAGTCTATACATGTAAAAATGTTCTAATTATAGTTCTTCTACTTCTCCCTTCCTTGGCACTGAGTGAGGCAACATTCCTTCATCTGCTCCCGTATAACGAATTATACGATCATCGCACATACCCAAACACAAACAAGTAGGGTGAGCTAACATGCAACCAATCATGTATGAAACATGCATGCAAACCTCATATAATAATTATGTCATACATACTCATACCATCATACAACAATCACATCATACAAACACAAACAAGTAGGGTGAACTAACATGCAACAAATCATTTATAAAACATATATAATTACCTTGATATAAACATCATATAATAATTATGTTCGACACTCTCATACCACAATTCCTATTAGACACTCGCCTCACAATACCCAATAGACACCACAATACCCAATAGACACTCATCCGGATGATACGTTGATGAGCGGTCACGGGAAGTTATGCACTTGTAATGACTTCTACTTCTTCTTTTTTTTAATATACTTTCAAAATACTTCATACCATTTACAAGGTTAATCCCCTCACTATGTCCAAAACCGGCACATAGACCAGGACCTCCTGCTCCTCTCACCACATAATTCATCCCTCTCTACTTGAGACTAGATGATTATTAGAGTATCAGGATAACCTCCAACTACGGGACCCTCAACATCAACATATACACAAATACCATAACATTTATTTAATCTCTCCACAAGACTCATACCATACTAATATTCCTCAACTCACATTATACCCTTACAAAATCTCCCCATACTACTCATAACATGTTCAGATGCATAAATTCAAATGCAGTATAATAAAATGCAATTATCACAATTATAATTCATAATTCCATATCTACCACAAAAATGAATTCATCAGACATTTCCATTCCAACAAGATATATTGCACAATATTTTAATAGTACAAAATCTGTTCAATAAGATTTAAGTTAAAAACTTGTCGAGTAGACTTCCAGGAAAGAGAGGTGCGTCACAATGGACAACTTAAGTACCAAATCTTTCCTTAGCCAAAGTGTTCCTCAACTAGTTTTTAACAAATTTCTTATTTACAGATTCAAAACAACAGCATATAATATTAACACCGAATTTCAATATAGATAAACATACAGTAAGCATTAACAGTATTCATACATAATTTCAAGATATGAATAGTAATAAAACAATACTAAGTCATAATATAAAAGCATAGAAATACTAAATCATAATATAAAAGCATAGAAAAGTTAGCTCCCCTACCTCTATTCCAGACGTCTCTTGCTCTGAATTTATTTCTCCGAAACCTTTCAGAACCTCTACCCTTCTTGCAACTAAAAATTTCTCTCTAACTTTCTCTCACTTGATTTCTCTTCTCTTGGTGCAGAATAATCTTCCCTCCCATGGTTATTTATAGTAAAAAAAATTTACTATTCATTAATATTTTAATATTATTTATTATTTTAATATTATTTAAAAATAATATTTCAATCATTTTCTCACCAAATCTGATCCTAATTTCTACCTACTACTTTCTTCCATGCTAAGAAATCCAAATGCTGAAAATTTATTTTTACTATTCACTTTTTACTATTTACTATTTACTTTTTACTATTTACTATTTACTTTTTACTATTCAATTTAAAAAAATTTACTAAATAAGTTACCAAAAATTTGAACCTCTCCTTCTAAAATTACTATAATTTTATATCCAAAATTTACATTTTTCTATCCATTAAAATTATTATTACTAATAAAATACTAAAATTTACTACTATAAATATATATATATATATATATAGATTTTTTTTTATGGGTCTTACAGTCTTCCCATATTTTCAGCATTAATAACAAAACAAATCAATATATTCCTAATAATTAATACTAAAATATTTTAAATACCAAATATAAATATTATCATATCTTTTCTTACAAAAATTAGATCTAGAATTAGATATTCAAACATATAAGTATAAACATTGAAAATAGATTAAATTACCAAGTTTAAAATATAATATAACAATTATTTATACATATTCATTTAATCCTAAAACAGACTTATATAAAAGTAAAAATTATCAGAATAATAGTAGAGCCATTATCTAAATCGTTTGTGTTATTTTCATTAGTTTTAGTGGAGAGATTTTGTCATCATATTTCAATTGAATTTTAGTTTCTCTTTTGAGTATTTGTCTGATGATTGAATGATGAACTACTTTAAAATTAGCATATTTATCAAAAAAAAATCATGAGGTTTTCAAATATTTTATTTTTGTAAAAACTATTTAGTTCATACCTTACCAATTGTTAACTCATATAAACAATATGTTTTATTAATCAAATCTTATATATGATATTATGACTTCAAGTTCTCTTTTTTGTCCACGAAAACTAAGGATAACATGACATTATTCGTTTAATAAAGTCTTAAGTAGGAGTAACCAAACATGTTGGATCCCATAGATTAACCCATTATCTCGTCCAAAATAAGATAAATTGGGTTAAAGAGTTTAACTCGTTAATCTGTTTTGGCTAAGTCAATTTAATAAATCACAATACAGGTCAGTCTAACCTTATCCGTTGATTGTTTTTAATTAAAATTAAAATAAAAAATAATTATTCTATATATTTTTTTAAAACTGTAATTATATATTAGTATTGTAATTTTAATTATTAACATTTACAAATTAAGTTCAAATTATTAGTTGTAATAAAATAGTTTAACATATAAATGTAATAATTATTTTAATTTATCTAATTATAAATATTAATTAATTAATTAAATGTTTAAAAAATTATGTATATGATTAAATATGGTTTTAATATTTATTTATATGTATATATAATCAAATTTTGAAAATAAAAAATTTTATGCGGGACAAGTTAGTAGCTCGTTTTTATTTAATGGACTAACCCGACTCATTTTTTACAAACCAATGACGGGATGAATCAAAATAGTCCTAAAAGTAAAGGAATTTCATATTTCGTCAATCCTTTTAATTTCAATTTATTATGAACATGAAATTGAAGTTAGATTCAATTAGAATATTTGTAAAAAAGAAAAATTATTTGTTGATTATTTATATATCTATAGATGTTTATGGATACTCGTAAATTTTTTTAAAATTAAATTTTTTGAAAAACAATATTTTCAAATATAAATTAAGTAAGAAAATTTGTTTTTAAAATATAATTCAAATAAAATTACACAATAAAATATTAATGTAAATAAATTCTATGTTTTTAAAAAACAAATTTAAACGAGTTACTCCAAAATGTATAAAATTTATAAGATTAATTTTTCTAAAATCAACTTCAATATTTTAGTCTAAATACAAAAAAAAAAAACATATTTTAAACAATTATTCAAAAGTTAATATTTCTTTCACTGATTACTTATTTTTTTTTAAATACTCAATCAAAATTTACTATTCAAGATAGATTATTAAAATATCAATGCCTTATATATCCATTTAATACTCGTTATGAACTTTTCTCACCAATATGTACATATATAAAAATTTTGTCACCCTTAACCAAACCCTTGTATCATTCAATGAAATATAGCATTAAGCAATTGAAATTATATTTAATAAGAAATGCTTCAAATATTTTGCTTTGGTGGGAGCATAATTTCTAAAATAATATCTTCCTTGAGTGATATTTCCAAAGTTATAAATATGTGTTGGATCTTTGTCACTTGAGGACAAAATAAGGTTGTATTGTATGGGATAAAAGCCAACCAAGACCACAACAATACTAAAACAGAATTAAGCTCACTTTCATGAACGAATGAAATCAATTTCAATTTCAATTTCAAATCTTACACCTTACAATACTCGATATTACACCTAATAACACCATAATACAAAACAAACTGGAAACCTTATCGATACAACACTAACATCAATAATTTGATATAAAAATAAAAACTATATAACGAATAAAGCCCGGCAACAAAAAGTAAACCAGACAATAATTTTTTTCTCTCTTCAAACCAATAAAATAATAATCACGTTTTGCTCAAGAAAAACTTCAAACAAAATATTTTTAATTAAGGAAGACTCTCAAATGGTAAAATGATATTAAAAAGAATAGTTTTTATTTTATGTAATTTGGTTTTAAAATGAAAGAATTATATAAATACACATCTAAGTATTTAATGGATTAATATTCCTTCAATGGATTAAATCAGAGCTTAATTTGAGTATTTAAATATATTGAAATAGATGTACAATAATACAACCCCACACATTGTTTTACGAGAATTTTCATGTATAAACTAATGCCTGAATCATACCTAACTTTCTAAGTAACTTTTTGAAAATTTTGAAGGATTTATAAAAGTCTGGTAAAACAATGTTATAAAATAACCCTGTTTGACAATAAAATTATTGTTTGTTTTTACTTAACTTTTATTAAAAGTCTTACAACCACGGTTATGTTATGATCATATCTATAATTCATATGGGATTTATAATCATAATAAAATTTTAAAATTTGAACTTGAAACTTAATTCCACCTCATTTTATAAAACAAAAAAAAAAAAAGATTTACAAGCTAGGCCAAAGCAGCACATAGGAAAAGCAGAGAGGGGCTGTTGTGTAAAGTGAGTAGATTTCATTCATCTGTACATAAGGTAGCCACAAATTTCAATCTAGTTGTGGACTGCATAAAATAGAAAAGGAAAATATCTTTTTAACAAATTTTTTTTACAACCTTTTACAACAATCTATGTGTAGTTTGTGATTGGTCCGTTTCAAATATACAGACCAATAAAACAATGACACATAGTTCATTGTCAAAAAATTGATAACATATCATAGTCCAAATAGAAAATGGAAACCACTTTTCTTCCTTGCATTCATGAGCATCACACATTTTGGGCTACACTCCAATTCATAAAACAATAGAGACTCTCAACTTTTTTTTCCTTTCAGGAATTGTGGAGAAGTTTGTCCAAACATACCCTAAATGATATACTGATACTATCATCAATATGAACAATACTTTGGAGTTAACTGTCAGCAATACTCTGATCCATACCTGTAGAATTATAATCTAGTTTTTCAGTTAAAGACCTGGACATTGTGGATTCCTCATCACCATTTTCAGAAGCTGAACTAGAAGCATCCATCTCCTTCCCTGGAAAGTCAATCTGTACACATTCAACAACTTCACTGTTACAAGTATTATTATCCTGATTCCAGTTTGAAGGTGTCAAGCCTTCTTTCTTGACAACATTGAACACAATCCCATTATGGATCGTTCCAGGCTGCAGAAGATCACCTTCTGTTACCAATATGTTGGATCCATTCATGACAACCCTGTTGCCATTTTCTTTCTGATCATATTCTGTGCTCTCGGAGCACTTATCAGGAGTTGTGTGCCTTGAACTGTGATGCTGAAAATCACGAGGGCTGATAAGAGTCACCTTGCTTCTGTTAAGTTCAGTGTCAACTTCTAAGTTTTGGACAAAATCAATGAACATATCAGATGATGTAGTTCTCATCAAAGGCCCACCGGATCTGGTCCAAGAATTCAAGTCAGCACTTTCAGATTCACTGTCACTTGCCTCGTGATTGCTACGATGGGACTTCCAGTTTTTACCAGTGGCTCCTCTGGGACTGATAACACCTTGATGCAATGAGGAAGCAGCATCTGCATGAAGGTCTTCTAGGGACCCTGTAGAATTCTCTCGAGCAAGGACATTCCACGAGGGAATTCTTCTTGAACCACTGAATTTGACTATGGTGGGGAGACCATGAGAAGCAGCAGCAGCAGCTCTCTCAGCGCTTCTTTTCAGACGTCTTGTATGATTGAGAATTGCAACAGACTCATCAAGAGCAAGCTCAATTCCACAGTTTGCTTTTATTGCAGAAAGCTTCTCCCAAGTGCCTCTTCTCCCTTGGTTGGTTGCCTTCTGAAGATCCACATAAGAAGGGTTCTGTATGATCTTTAAGTACTGGAGCAGGATGATAGAAAAAAAAAACATACACAAGTTAATCACTATTCAAATGAATCAATCTTTGTTAAAAAATAGATTTTAAGTGTGACTCAATCTTACGAAATCAGGCTCACTTATATATTATAAAATCACCTCTAATCAATGAGATCTCTAACAATCTCTATTAAATTATTTATAAACAAATTTCTGAACCACTTAGTAATCCTTGATGTTGTGTATTTAATTGTTCTTGAGCACATACCTGAGAAAGAGTTGCAGGCATAACAACTGTTACATCACCCTCCCAGTCTTGAGCAAATAGTTTGGCAAGCCCACCCAATGGAAAGCCAAGTTCCAGTACTTGATTACATCTATGTTTCACTTCCATCTCTACTAGATGAGCAAGCTACAGAGTTGAAAACCACATTGGATTAGTTATAACAATCAACTGATGTCATAATGTTTTATCTAAGTTTTTATATTTCAGTAAGGAACAGAGACCGAGTTAATGGAAAATGTAGAAGTGAAAAGTTCAGTTAACAAACAAAATAAACCAACACATGAACATGTATGTATCATCATTCATAGAGGTCCGAGCCCATGAACATACCTTTGCTGCAAAATTACCTCCATAAGCTCGTATAAACTCTTTCAATCTCAATAATGGTGCAATATGGGGATTGGCCTGACTAACTATAAAATGGTTGACGTTGAACAGCTCTTTCAACTGCATCATAGGTAAATCAATCTCCAAGCTACCATCCCTCCAACGGCGCACTGGAGTAGAACCCTTTTCAGGACCCAAATTAAATGGAGGATGGTAAGGAACAATCTCTCCACTTCTATCCTTTGCCATCAATTCCTGAGCCTCGAAAAGGCCAGGAAAGGCACAAGAAGCAGTGACTGCACTCCATATAACAACGTGAGGTGAAGTCAAGTAATTAAGACATCTAGGTGGTTCATGCTTTCTTGGGGAACAAACTGTAATCCCAAGAATTCGACCCGTCATATCATATGCTTCTTGAAATGTAAGATTGCTTGTTAGATTCCTCAGCATCACTTGCAATTGTCTGATCTCATGAACTGCACCGTATGTTGCAACCCTCTTCACAACTGTAAAAATTCCACCTAATTGGTCAAAAAACTGTAATGACTGCAGTGAATCCTCGAAAAAACTTTGAAGCTCGGGCCAAGACCTTGTGGCAACAATGGAGCACACAATGGATCCTACACTTGAACCAGCAATTACCCTCGGCATAAGTTTGTGTTCTACCAGTGTTTTAACCACTCCAACATGAAAAGCTCCAAGGGAAGCACCCCCACTTAGCAACAAAGCAGTCCTCCCAAATGCATGTCTAGTTTCATGCATGAAAGAAAGCTTTTCTTCTAATGCAAGCTCCTCCGAATCAGAGTTGCACACCATTCTCAACTGAGTTGTTACCTCATCAATATACTCCTTGATAAGTCTTGGCATCTGAAGCCTACCTTTGTGGACTTCAGGGTTACACATATTACCAAGATTTCTAACAAGATCTGCACGCATACAAAATATTATATCCCTAAGAGACCCCTCTTGCCTGCGATGGCGCAGCTCTTCAAGCTTGTTACTCACCAGCTCCACATCATAAAGGTCTGATTCATTCATCTTTGGTGTCTCTCTATCAAGCATTTTGGCTGCATGAGCCCACTCCTCATAGGTCAATGCAGATCTCATCATATTTCTCCAAAATTTCCGCCTATATACCATTTCAGCTCTCACCTTCACTTTGGCGTACCGTTTCAACAAGAAAGCAAGTATTGTCATCATTGCCATTATCCCCTGTGGATTTCTTGGGTGCAACCATGACACAATGGGTCCCCAAAATCTCCTAAAACCGTAGAAGATATCCAACAACACAAAAAGTATCTGATGCCTCAATTTTAACATAGACTTGCAGAAGAGAACCCTGAAAGCAATAGTCCTGCCAAGAATGCTAGAAGGGCCAATCGCGAAAGGGTCAACCCTAGCATCGTTACTTATATGATCCATCCTTAGACCAAAAAGATGAAAGTAAATACTTTTGTTCTCAAAAGCCAAAACCCTTAAGAGATCATGTGCTCTAAAAGAGTTTAGACGGTACAAGCTGGCCCTTTTAAGATACCATCAAAAAGTAAAATCTGAAAGGAAATGTTTTTACAATCTAAGAAAAACGTATAAAGGAATTGACTTTGCATAAAACTCCCAAGAAGTGCATAAATGGATAAAATTATCAAGGAATCAGTCAAAGAGTGAAATCAACAAAAGGGCTCTGTGTAAGCAGAAAGATCATACATCACAACTGCACATTCGATTTGTGGATGATTCCATCAGTGATGTTGAATAAAAACAAGCAAAGGAACACAACTTTAACTCATATAATCGAGTAGGAAAGGTTCTGAATGAAATCTTCGATTCCAGGGGGGAGGATTCTCCAGAAGCAGAACACGGATCAGATTGGATACAGAAAAGGGGGTGAAAAGAAATGTGGTAAAGTGGGATTGGTGAATGGAAAAGGCTCAAAGCGAGGGAATGAAATGAAAGGGAATGGTAATAATTAATGAAATGAAAAAATGTTCCCGCTAAGCCAAGCAAGTATGGAAAAGACTTAGCGAGAAGAAAGAGGAGTGGTGGTTTACATTAGGAACACGATAACCATGATTTGGAAGTTGAAGAAATGAAAATGAAGGAAAAAGGACATTGAGATTTGCGAGGAGAAGATAAAGTTGTCGTTATGGTGACGCGGGAGCCAGTCAGAAAAGTGCGCCTTGGCTTGCCTGTTGACCTTCAATTCCAACACTACAACTAAAGTTCCGTACTTTCGTTTCTATCTGTTTCCCACGTGTACAGAAAACAGAGTTGTATTATTATATTTATATGATTTTTGAAAAACAGATTATCTAATCATTTAATTAATTTATTAATTTTCAGAAAATCAATATTTTAAGTAAAATATCATACACTATGACTAATGATCTTTTACATATTTTTTTTAATTTAATAGATTTTGGAAACTGTAATTCTCAAATCAAGATGACCAATAACGTATATTCATCTTACATAGAAATTATAAACTCCTTTTAATTATAAAATGTTCATATTTCAAATATTAGTTCCAAAAAATCCACAACGTATATTAACCACAACGATTTAATATATATATATATATATATTGTTTATTGTATAAATTCTTTTTTCAGTTAGTATATTTTAGTATAGTGTATTGAATTTTAATTAATAAAAATTAATGTATTATATATTCTAAGTTTTAAAATCAAGAATATTTTAATAACTTTTATTTTTAATTTAAAATAAAAAAATTTGAAACACTTCTTTAATTTTAATTCATCTTCTTCACTTGTCTAATTTATTTCTTTTCAAGCTCTTTCTCACTCACACATAGAAACACATTATGTTGGTTTATTTGTTTTTCAAGGTTGTGTTATATCTTTTCTTTTTTTATTGTTATTAAATTTTATTTTTAAATTTTAGAAATAGTAGTTTTTCTTTAGGAAAGTTTGGAAAGTTTGATACTTCGACCTTGTTTATTGACTTTTTTATTTGTTTTGCTTAATCTTTGAATAACGAAAAAGTTGATATGCTTTGATTTGCAAAAAAAAAATTATTATTGATATGAAAAAGAATTAAGACTATGGTAAGAATGACAGAGGAAAAATAAAATATTTGAGTGAAACAGATAATGAAAATAACAAGTTGAGTAAAGGTTTAAGGTTTATTTTTTTTTTTTAATTTTAAAAATTAAAATTAAATAACATTAGTTTTGAAACTTAGAATTTATAGTATTTTTTAGCTAAAATTTGATACATTATTAAAAAAAAAACTTTTATAAATACATATATCACCTAGAGCAACAATAATTTGTATTCTCAGTAACAACAATTTCGCACTACCAACAACAATATATTCGCACTAACATCCAACGAATGTTGCACAATCAAATGTATAATATAATTAATTATTTTCTTAAAATCATCTATAATTAATTTTTAATTCAAAATAAAATATAAATAATTTATTATATATTTCACAAACATTTATTCTCAAATATTTTTCTTATAAAACTAGACCACCAACATTTTTTTTCATTTCTTCATTTCCTTTTTCTATATGATAACCTTACTTAAAATATATAAGATGATTTCATAATTAACAAAATGTTAAATTCTACGAAAATCATATCCCAATAACTCAACAATATACATAATTTAATATATTCATTATATTGAAGAAATTTCTATGCCATAAAATTAAAACAAGACTAAAATATTTTTCTCTAATTATTATAAAAAAGTTTAATTAAATCCATAATTTTTATTTGGTTCAATTTATTATTTTAGTTTTTAAAAATATCAAATTAGGTCTGTTAGATTGATATTAGATTTCTGGTAAATTTTATATATTAAATCCTTCCACTTAATATGAATAAGATGTCTAAACTATAACGGAAATCTAACTTTAATCTAACAAAAATATCACAAAAATATCTCATTTAATCATTTTTAAAAATTAAATAATCAAATTAAATTAAATAAAAATTATGAATGTAATTAGATTTGTTTATAATAATTAGACGATATAAATAAGATTTTAGCTTAAAACAATCATATTGTACAAGTATAAAAAGACCATTATTAACTATCAACCTCAATAACTAAATATTTATTTTTATTAAAATTTCATTTCCATTAACATCTCCAACATCATTATATTTTATTCTTTTAAAGTTTTAAATCATATCTTCCTTAATACTAAAAAATCTTAAAGAAAAAATTTCTCTTACATTAGCTTTTCTTATTTTAAGTGTCACATGTTATCAAAATATCCTTTCTCCTAAAATAACAATATTTTCTTTTCTCCAAATCTAAACATATTATGACCACAAAATAATATTAATAATAATAAATCAATTTTTCCTTATATTTCATTTCAACTTTAAAATATTCACATCCCATGTTTTCAAAATTAAATTTCCTTAAAAGTTATAATAAGGATTCTTAATTATTTCTCACTATTCCTAAAAATAATATAAATTAATATAAAAATAATAAATTACAGAACAAATAATAAAGTTCTCTTATAATTTTAATAAAAAAATAAACTTTATAAAAGACTTCGTTAAACTCTTTTTCACAGTTTAGTTTTTAGTTAGTTAAATATCAAATACATGTAAACGTGAGTTAGTTTAGATTTAATAGAATTTAATTTATTTATAAATAAAACTCAATTCAATCTAATCAAGTTAGATTTAGTAAGATAAATCATTAATAGACAGTTTGATTCAACTAACACTATTAGTGATATTCAATTTATTAATTATATATTTATATAATTATTTTCTAAAAAATAATTTGAAATTTAATTTTATAAATTTATTTTTTTATGTAAATTTATACAATTAAAAGTATTTTGAAAGAAAATAACTTTTTAAAATTTATATTTTACACAGTAACTTTTCAAAGAATTATATTTTTAGAAATTAATTTTATTAATAGTAATATTTTATTATTTAATTTTATATTCTAAAATGGTAACTTTAAAATAATTTATTCAGTGTTAAAATATATTATTTGTGGATTTTTGTAAATACTCACAAATATTTGTTTTGTAACCTAACATTTTAGACGCGTGTCGTCATCCTTGGGCGAACGACTTTGGTTGTAAAAGGAAATGTGTGGAGTGTAAGCATAGATCTCAACGGCCAACGTATAATTTAAGAATTCCAAGCTTGCGTCCCACAATTTCACATGGATAAGTTTTAATATGTAATTTTAAAATAATATTATATTTTAAATAATTTACCAAACCTTAAACTTGATTGCAATTATAATTAGTATTTTTCCTTTTGTAATTAGTCTTTAACAAAACAAATTACTATGTTTCTGCTTTTCGAATGGTGTTTTGCATTTATTGTTAGTAGGAAAATGTCTAATACTGGCTTTGGTAATGGGTATAAAAGAAAAGAAAATGGATAAAATTTCATTGTTGCTGACTATGTAAATTTTCTCACCTAAGTATTCATTCGATTTAATTAATGTCTCACTAATTCCTTGTACGTTTGAATTGGAACAAATCTTTTTCAAACATTGTTTATCCACGAAAACTTCCGAACCCTTTTTAATATCTATTTAGATCTTTATTTTCATCCATTTTATTTAAAATAGTTATAAACTTTTATTTTAATTTTTTTAACTTGTGTTTCCTTGGTATTTTTATATATAATGTTCACGTTATCCGTTATTAAGTGGGATGTAAGTTTTTTATATACATAACAACTTAAAATAAAAGTGACTTAAAAATTTGGTAAATCATCTTCGACCTCTGATCACCCAAAACCCTAGTCATTATTAGAATAATTACTTCGACATTGACAATCATCATAACTCACCACCATCATCTCCTTCAACCTTGCAAATCAACTAGCAGCCACTACAAGCTATATTTGTCTTCATCCAACAACCACGACCAACCTGTGTCTGAAAATAGAAACGCGAAGTTTGTTTTTTTCACGTAATTAAACCTGCAAAATAAAGAAAAAAAACAAAACCCAAAAATCACAAACCCTAACTCGTAGAAAGCCAAAAATCGTGAGATTTGTCTTCTCCTCCGCGATATCAAACCTGCAAAACCAAACAAATCAAAGCAAAATCCTAATTTTGGGTGGAAGATGAAACTGTCATGTGATAATCCCTCAATTGATAGTTCATGTATGTAAAAAAAAATACACATCATTTAGTAATGGATAACGTGAACACGATATCATTAACAATTTAGATACCCTAATAGAAAAAAATCAAATTGAACAAAAATTACAAAAATAATTACAAAAATTGAAACTATTCAAAAAAATAGTCGACGATTACTTTAAAAAAACTAACAACTAACAAAACATAAATAAGGATCAAAATTACTAATTACATTTTTCTATATTAACAAAGAAAAAGACTAAAATATCTCGTTTTACTATACGACGTATTCATCTATCATTATCACTGTGAAAAATAACAAATAGGATATAGAAAAAATCATTCTAAAAAAGTTATTTTGAATACATTTACATTGCATATATTTTATAAATTTTTTTCGAAAAAGTATATATTACAATATTTATCTCAAAAGGTATTATATGAATTTCAGAAAATTTGTTTGAGAAATCTTATTTTGAAAAGTTTTTTTGAAAGTATATTTCTTGTATTTTGAAAATGTGATTTAAAAAATTTCATTCCAAAAATCATATTTTAAAATTTTCTGCAAAATTATTCAAGAAAATTTCCAAACTATTTTTATGAAGAGTAAAATATCATTCTAAAACATTCGAAGGTGCGTGAAGAAATTGTGAGAGTGCAAGAAACAAAAGCCATATACTATACATGTAAAACTCACTGTATAGAGTTGGTCCGTATGAAGAGCTTTAGTTTTGAACTTCAATAATACAAAAATGGGCCTAATCTTATACTCAATTTGAAAAATACATTTTTGTACTGTGTATAATTCAGAAAAATATTTCATGTCACTTAATCTTTTCTAATTTTCATATTTGAAAATATATTTCAAATTTCTACATTATGTAATAAAAATATATATTGTAGATCCTATAATTCAAAATGACTTTTCGAATCTAGTAACATATTTAAAATTACACGATTACATTAGTTTAAAATAATTTCAGATTTCACAAAAGTATAAATTTATAAATTATACAATGCAAAATATTTTTACATACCATCGTATCATCGAGTAAACCTTTTTCATGGTTTAATTTATAATAA